CTAAATAGAATTATGTAAAAAAAAAAAATTTGAAGAAAATCATTTATATAAAATATTTGGACTTTTGCAGATGCTATTTTAGAAAAATGCTAAATAGTTTTATTGATATATGATATGATATACCAGGCTGTTGTTGAAAATAAAACTTGTTCTTATTGCCTGCTTATTCTGACTTGCCTGGTTAAATAAAGGTTAATAAATACATTATCTATGATATATTTTTAAACACTTCAGACAGTTGCAGTGAGAGCCTTCGTTGTAGACAGCTCCACGAAAGTTTAATTTTAGTTTCATGTCACATTCATCAAATGTAGACTTAACAAGTGTGAGCTCCCTTTTTAATTGAAAGTGACAGAATTTCCTTCATGGTAACTACTACGTGGACAACAACATAATGCGTAGAGTATGAAATGTCACTGTTTTTGCATGGCCATTGATCCAGTGTTTTCACTTTGCTGTAGGTGCAAACTCATCTTGAAAACCCAACTAAATACCACATCCAGCAGGCTCAGAGGCAGCAAGTGAAGCAGTACTTGTCCACCACACTAGGAAATAAAGTTGCCACACAAACTCTCGGTGTATCCCCCGTTCTGCAGTCAAACTCCGCTCCGGAGAGGGGCCTCTCTGCAAGCAGTGCTCCCAACAGCCCAATGGCACATCTTAACCTGGGCTCCAACAAAGAAGAGGTAATACACATCTTAAAAAATACACTGTGTGCTGATCATCTCATTCAAATGTAGGAGCTTCTTAAAGGCCAGTTCACACCAAGAATGATAACTATCAAGATAACTGTATTGGCGTCCAATAACATTCTACTGCAGTTATGTCATCTGCCAATTTTAATGCTTGAACTCTTTAACGCCAAAAGTATTCTGATTGACTGTCAATGGTTTTGTTGTTCACCAACTGGAAAAAAACTGTTCTAAAAACTATATTCCTCTGTGGTGTTATTGTTATAGTTGTTTTGTGGACTATGAATTCCAATAATTATTCAAACTTTCTAGTTATTGTTATAGTTATCATCGTTTGTGTAAACATGCCTGTTTGTGTAAACATAAATTGAAAGTAGCATTTTTTTTTTTTTACATTTTTATATTGGATATTAAATGACGACCCAACACAGCATCATAATTGTTTATCATACAACAATAAACAAACATGTATTTAAAATGAAACAGTGAATTTACACAGAAATTCAGCGGAAGCGTTTTTTCCCCTCCCTTAAAGTTGCTAAACCTATTTTACGATCTTAAAATGCACAATTATATGTTGTATAGTTGGAATTGTTCGTTTTGCATTTTTAACACTGTCTGCAAACCTATAAAAACATCTGCCCACCAGCTTAGAAACACTAATTTATGTTTTATGGTTACTGATTTATACTAAAGAAGTTTTTTCCACTTTTTCCCTCTTTTTCTAATTATTTCTGCACAAATATACATTAATATTCTTCCTAACAGCAGTAACACTTTACAATAAAGTCTCATTATTTAACGTTTGTTAATACATTAACTAACAATGAGCAATATATTTGTTGCAGTATTTATTAATCTTTGTCAACTTTAGGTAATTAAAATACAACTGTTCATTGTTAGTTCAAGTTAGCTCAGGTCCATTAAATTTCAACAGGTACAACTTTTGATTTGAAAAATGTATTAGTAAATAAGTAACTAACTAACTTAACTAAGATTACTAAATGGTTTAGAAGTATTTTTCATTCTTAACTAATGTTAAAAAATGGAACCTTATTTTTGTAGGCGAACACGCTTACCTTTCCCTGTTCTGCTTGCCCTCTCACTAGCTTTGTGTTACATTGTACTGCAAAATACCACACCAGCAGCTTAATTATATTTGGACCTCTCTTTCACACCATACAGCACTTCTGCTTTAGATCGCCCATAAAACACACACTTGACAGTTTTCTTGTTAAGAATACAGTTCATTGGTTCCCTAAATACATGTTTATAACCCAATTTGTTTAATTATGTGATTAGATATGCAACACTCAACATTTAATGATCTTAACTCTCAACATTTAATGATCAGATGGATGATGTAATCGACGACATCATCAGCCTTGAATCCAGCTTCAATGATGACATCATGTCACTGATAGATTCTGGCCTGCAACTCCCAAACACGGTAAGCTGAGCGATCATCTTCATTATTGATGAACATTACGGCAATGTTCCGAATAAAAGCCTCTTTGAACCCCAGCTATATTTGTGGTAAACCACCACAAACCATTTTGAAAGCTACAGAGAGATCATTTCCTGAACGTAAATGTCCCCACCCCTCTTAAGAGTGAGTGCTAACCATTGCACTTACGAGGGAGGTGATAAATGGGGATAC